TCTACATTTGGAAACGAACAAATGTATCGTTAGTTAGTCGACAGATTTAATCACCCGTTGGACCTTTTCTTTTTTGCAAAGCAAATGTCTCTTCTTTAAAACGAGGTTTTACATCTATCGCACGATAATATCGTTCGGTTTGTTTCTCTTCACGTTTTACCATGTTACGTACCATCCTTTATTATGTTTATTCTACCTTTTACGAAATAGGTGACAACATGTACAGTAACAACAATAATGATAATAATAATAATAATTATTGTGCATCTTGTGACAGGTAATTCTGTTAGTCATACTCAGAGTAATCGGTAACGCTCTCTTCAGTTTATTGACTTTTTTCTTTAAACTGTTACTGTTACCAACGTGGTTTTGAGCAATGCTCTTCTATATATTATAATTATAAATATATAAAAATAAAGTTATAGTTATGTGCAATTCTGATAAATTCTCGTTTCACTGTTCACGTTGTCTTCAACACCGTATAATAGGATACGGACATTTTTACCACCTGCAAACATCGTTGTTGTTTGAGCGAAACATATCAGAATGGTCAGAGTTAGGTGATTGTCAGTGAATGTTGGTGGTGTTTACCTCCAAGAAACTTGCCATGTTCAGTTGCACTAAACCGCCAGCCGTTAAACAGGTAGGTGTTAGGTTTCTTCGTAACGCTACCACGTATAATGCTTGTGTTTTCGAAGAACTTGTGTACCATAATGATTCGTATCTGGAAGTTTCATTATCATCGCGTGTGATACACGGAGTGCCGTTCGAATCAACAGCAAAATTGTGGTAGGTTCACCCTTTGCAATCGAGTGGCGACTGGGAAGCGACGTTAAACAATCGTCACTTGGTGGATAATGAACGAAGAGAGAGAACAGATCTATGGGCCTCCATAAATTTGTTCGTTATGGTGAGATGGAGAATACGTGGAATATTTCAATAAAATAGTATACTTTATTTCTACGTTAGTTTGAACAAATTTTGAAGAAGGTCCGATTTGCAACCTTTTGTACAGCAAAATCATCTCCGAGTGCAAAGGGTTAACGTACATTTTATATAATTCTTTTTTGTTCGCAGGAAATGATGAAGAATTACATACGTAAACAAAACAGAAGAAGAAACGATAAGTCTCGACTGAAGAAATAGTGTAATTAATATATAATTTCGTCGAGATCGTTTATTGGCTCTACTCACATCGCCGCGTGAATTCTGTCGCACGAATCCAGCACGAACTGTCCCTGAAGCATGATGACAAATAGATGCATCAGTTGACACAACATGAAACTGCAGTTTCTGTAGAAGTTTATATCTAAATCCGCCGTACTCAGCTGATTTGAAAACAGTGAAAAATTTCCACAGATTAAACAACGCGAAATGTAATCGTAGGAAAGAGAAAAAAGGAAGCTCACCTGGATCAGAGTAATACTGAAGCATACAATCACCATGGCTAAGCAGGTGAAAAGGTACGTGTCATGGCCGCGTTCAATTTCCTTTACAAAGCTGAGTAAAACGGCGGTAAAACGTGGTAGAGAAAAGAGGAACCACAAACTAACGAAGAAGACATGCAAACAAAGAATGTCAATACTGACTTTATAGCACGTTGATGTCCCTGAATGGAGAAACACGCGTTCTTGTACGCCTCTTTCGTCCAGTGGTCGAAATACTTCCCCTTCACGCTATTGTCCTCGCGAACTGAATTTTTGAAGCGGTATCTGTGAACGTTCCACGCAATCTCGATAATAATTTCCCGACGAAAATGAGAGAAAAAATGTATCTCTCAAGTTTTCTCACCCGGCCACGGCGAACAGTCCGCAAGTGTGTTGCACCAGTACCATGTAACTGGTGTCGCAGGCACAGTACACCACCACTACAATCAAAACTGTGCACGTTCCGTGAAGTATGATGTAATAATAGTATTCTACTTCGTCGACGAAGTAATATCCGGGTATGACGAATTGCAAACTTGGCGTTATATTCTGTGTCTTGTACGAGTTCACCAATCGGGTCGTCCATGGCACTTGTATGAACAAGAACGAGCAAATGTACGCGTTCACTGGAAATGTCCAATCGAGAGTTGCTAATTGTTTCTAATTAAAACTTCGGAGAGCTTACCAACGTAGAACCTCGAGAGCAGATTTCCCCTTTGTCCGTACTTCTTCATGATGCCGATCTCCTTGTACGATCGTTCTTGATTCCAGTCCTCCCACATACTATCCAGAAGGTATTCGAACTGCAACAGTCGTGTCACACAGTTGCAGAAAAATGTCAAGGTGGAAGATAAAGATCGCGAGCATCCTCCCACCTTATCTGTATTTATAATGTAGTTCCCTTGCTTGCATAGCAGCAACACTATCGCGAAGAAGAATGGCACTTGTTCTACTATCACGTCCACGGTAAGGGTTTGCAACATCCTTGCTAGCTGTATTAACGAAGCATCGCGACATTTACTCTTTATCTTGTCACATGACATTGTCTTCTTAGTATGTCGAAACAAGTTACAGAAATTAGATGTTACGAGGGTTTGTTTGTAATCTGGAGCAGTAGTTGTGTGAACGAAGAGGGCAAACAACCCTGTTCGGAAAATTAGAAGGTAGCGAGCCAAAAGCGAGAACTTGGAATGTTGAAAGATGAAGAGGGAGGAAGATCGAGAGACTTTGCAACTATCGTTACAGTACAGTTAGTTAACGCTTTGTATTCCCGAAATTACCGAGTAAAAACCTCCTTATTCATCCAGAACTCCTACGATCTACTATTTATCGGTGAAATTCTTCGAGACAATTGTCTCAAGAAAATTCCTACCCCTGATATAATTACACTTTTCACACTTTCTATTGTATTGTAAATGATGGAATATCGTATATATCGAGTAAAGCATGACAGAGTGTACATTTATGTTAACGTTACGTGTGTACCTGAGCAAGGAGCGAACTGATGATAACCATGAACACAATGTTCACCTGCTTGCATAGCAGCAACACTAGCGGGCAGAAGAATGGCGTCTGTTCTACTATCATGTCCACGGTAAGGGTTTGCAACATCCTTGCTAGCTGTATTAAGGAAGCATCGCGACATTTACACTCTATTCTGTCACTCGACATTGTCTTCTTAGTATGTCGAAACAAGTTACAGAAATTAGATGTTACGAGGGTTTGTTTGTGATCTGGAGCAGTAGTTGTGTGAACGAAGAGGGCAAACAACCCTGTACGGAAAATTAGAAGGTAGCGAGCCAAAAGCGAGAACTTGGAATGTTGAAAGATGAAGAGTGAGGAAGATCGAGAGACTTTGCAACTATCGTTACAGTACAGTTAGTTAACGCTTTGTATTCCCGAAATTACCGAGTAAAAACCTACTTGTTCATCCAGAACTCCTACGATCTACTATTTATCGGTGAAATTCTTAGAGACAATTGTCTCAAGAAAATTCCTACCCCTGATACAATTACACTTTTCACACGTTCTATTGTATTGTAAATAATGGAATATCGTATAAATCCAGTAAAGCATGACAGAGTGAACATTTATGTTAACGTTACGTGTGTACCTGAGCGAGGAGCACGTTTGAGCTTCGCTCGATCCCACGGTCCAGATTTCGCAGTTGAACATTCGCGAAAAAAGGGCAGAGAATTCTCCCGCGGTTAATTCTCAAGCGGTTCAATTAAGGTACGTTCGGCTTGTCGGCACTTTATTACATGCACGCAGCCACCTATGACGTCTATCGCGCACAACATGCGGCAGAATTTACCAGCATGATTTATTGGAAACGTCGGTCACGTGCAAGTAACGAATATCCTTTTCTTCCCGTAGGAGGATACAACGTGTACGATAATTAGAAAAAAGAATAGAAATATATGGGGAAGTTCATTTTCGAATGATCGAAGAGAACGCGGTTGGTAATTCAACTGTATCTATTTTTAAGCGAATTTACACGTATATCATACATATATGTTTGTACTATTTCGTTCATTGCGTGCTCTCTACTTTTACTTGGTCTGCATCACCGTGTAGTAGGAAACAGATGCTTTGATGATCTGAAAGGGAACGTTTAAATTTGTTCAAATATTCTCTAACAATAAGTACCTTTCGCTACCTGTTTAATGTTAATCGTTAAATCACCTCTGCGAACGATCGTAGATTCAACGTCGTCATCCCACCAGCTGTTAACAGAGGTGGGTTTAGGCAGCTTCTCAATGCCAATACATACAACGCTTGTGTTCTAGGAGTGAAATTATACCACTGCGATTCGTATCTGCAAAGGACAAGGAAGAATTGAGAGAAAATTCGAACCTGGAGAGATTCTTGGTCAGAAAGTGTATCAGGTAACGTAACAGGAAATTTTAGTATGAAGTATACAATACTTACATCTTGTCGTACAGTTCGTCGAACGCGTTTATCACAAATTGTCCCTGGACGTTCAAAAAGAAAACGTGAAACGCTTGGCCGACGAAAAACGTTCCGTGCACAACCTTCAACTTTATGTGTATTATCATTATCATGTAGTATTGCTCAGGATCCATCCAGTAATAGGCTGGATAAACGAACGCACGTTTTCTCGTTTTGTTCAGTGGCGCGCAAATGTCCAAGATGATCGGTGCGAAAGGCACGCATAAGAATATGGCCGCGGGAAGGAACAAATGTGCTGTAAACGTCAAAGGAGAAATAAGGTAATTTCTCGGGGTAATTTCATTCTCCATCTCACCTGCGTAACACAACGCGATCAGTTGTCCTTTTCGAGCATAGGTTACCATGATTTTGCATTCCGTCTCAGATTTGATCGACGTCCAGTTGTCGAATATCTGTTCCACCATCGACTTTAACTGTAATTTCAACGTGTCGAGAGGAGAATTGAAAAAAGGGTTAGAGGCGAATGTGCATGGTAAAAGTGTCGCGACATGTCAGTTGATAAGCCACTGAAAGCATGACTCTTTCTGCAAAAGTTTCAGTTCCACTGATAGGGTTGCTGAAGATAGAAACGTGATTTACAATTTAAGCTCCATTTTTTTGCTGTTCCACTCGACGAAAAATTATGCAAAAATTCAGAGATACTATAGACAGTGGGATACGTGTCTGGGAATTTTTCCCATTTTCTGTCAATAACGAATTTTGATTAATTGACAAGTTTGGACATATCGATTTTCTATTGAAATTATCAAGTGACTTCCTACTATCGATAGGAGGCCATTTTAACACGTTCACCGTGTAATTTTTCTTGTGCGCAGAAATTATCTGAGTCACGGGCATTTTTTTTAATTCGACAGGTCAAATAACTAATCGAAATTCGGTAATCAATCGCAGTCACGCTTCCACCAATCAAGTTTCTTCCTCTGAGATCCACAGCGAACGTCCCGTATGTTTCATTCAAATTTCTCGTTCAAATCGTCCCGTGTGCTTTTCTCAAAAGTACCATCGAACGTTGTTCCCTTACCTTCGTTTCGTTTATAATGTAATTACCCAGTTTCACGAACGTCCCAACCGCTGCCACGTTGAAAGGTATGCCATCCACGAGATTGTCCATGCTGAAGAATAGCACGGTGTTTGCTATCTGCAATCAAACACGATATGCGTCGTGTTTAAACGTTCCTTTCGATTGAACCTACCGTACCTGTGTAACAATGGAAGATGCCATTAGAAGCAAAGAAAGTATTTGCGTGATCAGTTTCCTTCGAGAGTTCTGACGAGGCCAGACACCGCATATCAGTCCAAGCACTTTGTTCAACTTCATAAATCGTTCTTCGACCGTTTCTGCGTACATAATCGTAACAGCGAAATCAGTCAAGCTGGTTCTACGTTATATTTCTCTTGTGTGTTTGCCATAAGTTAAAGAGAATCGGTAGGATGAAGATTGTCAGGAAAATAATCGCCTATCGTATATTCCGTGTGCTTACAGACTAATATCGCTGAGGGTTTAGTTCAATAATTTCTGAAACGACCAGAGCACGATCGTTACACGAGCAACCGTTTCTCGATCATTTATTAAACCGCCTTTTTGAAACGGAGATACGACGCTTTCGTCAAGATCATCCGAAAATTGGACTATTTGAAGCTCGTTAGAAAGTTCAGTACTCTACTCTCGCAAAGTGAAAAGCACTTATGTCTGATTCAGAAGCGGTATAGCTTGCATTAAATATTAACAGTTAAATGGCTCCTTCTTCGATGTTAGTCCTGGGCAGTCTACCTGTTACGTAGTGCGCAGGAAATGTTACGGAATATACATACGTACTTCATTTTTCGGCAGAATTTCTTGCGTTTGGTATTTCGTTACGTTTGCACCGCAGGTGAACGGCATGGAAATGCATTTGAAATTCTCCGTGATTTGTAGATCATTATTGGTGGTTAAATGCAGTTACACTGTTCTGTTGTTTGCAGAGACAGAGTAGCGATGGAGAAAAGTGGGAAACGAGCATTGATTCAGTACCTTGAACGGCCTTTTATCGCAATATGTTGAATCACTTGGTCGACAGAACTGTTCCTCGTGTTCAGGAAAAGTACCATGTGGGAAACAGAATAATCCTTCTACGTTACGTTTCGACAATATGGGTGAGTTTTTACGTTCGAAATTTTATTGAACAAGTATTTGAAAAAAATTGTCAAACAGTTCAAGTGTTTCATTGTATAAGTGGACAAGTAAGAGTAAGTAGAAAATATTAATTTATTATATGTTTAGGGGTTTGTTACGTTTTATTACATGCATACGAATAACACCACAATATATAAACACGCACGACAAATATAACAACACATACGTAATAACGAGTACAGTAGATAAGTTTTGTAAAAAATCAATGGCACATTTAACGGACAGGGTGATTCATAAATATGTATGTAAGAACGAGGGAAAATTTGTTTGTATTTGCCTGTAATGCAAACAACAGTATCCTTTTTATATGAATCATCCCGTACAGTTTTAACCTAACTCAACGATTATACGATAGACTCATTGAATCGATTTTGTTTGTATTATTATCTCGTCAATTCACATCGAATACATTTATACAGCGGAAGTGAATATTCTTCAGCCACGTATAGATTGTGCCAGTTATCACGGTAATATCGACAAAATTATGTCAGTATTGAAGTTCTACCGTTCATTTCGATTGCATCACCGTATAGTAAGACACGGATGATTTTATAATCTGGAAGGAGAATCTTGTATACACGGTGTAAAATGTTTTAATGAGTCCGAGTAATCTTGTATTTGTCGCCACGTTACCTCTGAGAAGGTCTTTAAATTCAACGTTATAAATCCACCGGCGGTTAACAAGGGAGGGTTTAGGCTACTCCGTAACGCTAATATGTATAACGCTTGCGTTTTGCACGAAGAATTGTACCATGTCGATTCGTATCTGTAAACGATAAATTTTCATATTTGGAGCTTCGAATCTTCTAATTCAAACTTTCGCATTCAAATTCTCAAATTATTTAATTTTAACTTTGGCAGTCATATTTTAAAACTTAGGGTTTTAAATTATCGCATGCAAATGTTCCAATTTAGATTATCAAATTCTCAAATTTTTGCCCTCAAATTTTTCTCTTCAGCCTTTCACACACAGGTTATCAAATTTCGAATTTGAAAACAATATATTTCTTTCACGGTCAAGGTTAGCTGCGACCATTTCTCCCCCTAAATCCGTATTTCCCATTTCGTTTACGTACTCACATCGTATTATAAACATCGTCGTACGCGTCCAACACGAACTGCCCCTGAACGACTAAGAACAGCATGTGTAACAACTGGGCCGTGAAGAACGTGCAGTACAATGTCCATTCTGCGTCGTGTTCGTGTTCTGATATCTAGATTCATGTAAATTGATCACGAGCTCGCCACTATTAAATATCGAAAAAAAAAAAAAGAAAAGTGAAGCTGGTATAATGAGTCGAGTCACCTGCAACAACGAAGTGCTGATGCTCATCATCAGCAGTCCCACCGAGATGAACATGCAAGTATCGTGAGCGGCCGTGATCTCTTTCACGTATCTGAATCAAAACTAACAATTAATTGCTGAAAAAATAACCAAAAAGATCCAACCGTGAAATTTTGCAGTCTGTAATAATAATAATAATAATAATACCGACTGTAAAGCACGTTGATGTATTCGAATCGAATGACAAACATTTCTATACATCTTTCTCATCATCTTCACAGCTTCCTTCTCATCCTCGGGTATTACCTCATAGCAGGCGTATTTAAAACGATATCTACCAACAGACAATTGTTTTCAGCTAAACAAAAGCCAACGAAATTTCTATAAAGAAAACCATTTTCCATTAATTGTCCTTGAACTAATTACCCTGCAATGGCCAACAATCCGCAAGCGTGTTGCACGGCGTACACGTAATTGGCATCGCAGGCGCAGAAAACAGAGATAAGCATTACCACTACAAGATACATATGCCCTACGATCAAGTAATGATATTTGTCCTCGTCGACGAAATAGTAAGCTGGATAGACGAACAACCGTGCTCGCGTCTCGTTCAACGGCATAAGGATGTCCAGAATCGGCGACACGAACGGCAAGCACATAAATAGAGCGGCGCATAACGATATATGCACTGTTTCAAACGTGAAATAGAATGACAGAGAACGTTCTAATTACACGAATTTCTTCATCTTTGAAATATAAATTTATCCTTCTCTTACGAATATAGAGTATGACACTGAAAATCCCTTTCTCCGCGTATTTCGTCATGATCTTGTACTCATCCTCCGACGTCATGGCTCTCCAGTCTTCGTAGATCTTTCCAAGAAGATATTTCAGCTGAAATTTCGAAGCTGGTGATTTGATTGAGTTAAGAAGACACGTTGGAGAGTATTGCACTTACCTCTGATTCGTTTATGAAATAGTTACCAAATTTGACGATTACCCCGAGCGAAGTTATCAAGTAAGGATAATCGTTTAGTATGATATGTATCCTGGGAAAAGTGACGATCCTGGCATACTGTAAAAATTAGAGTGAAAAAAACAACCACTTTTCGTTTCGGGAAGAAAGAAAATTTCCGATCGCTTAATCCTTATTTTTTCTACCTGTGTAACATAACAAGGTATTATCACAAAGAGCACTACCGTTCGACTGATCCATTTTGGCGAGCTCTTTTGATAGGGCCACACACCGGTTAGCATGCCGAGCTTCTTGTTGATTCTCAAGTAACGTTTCTCTAACGTGATCGCATCCATTGTCAAAATGAAACCAGCGCGACGAACGTTCGACGAATATATGCGCGACGGTTCGTCAGAGAAATCGACGCTAAACGAAGAAGAAGATAGGCAAAGAAAAAAAAATAGAAGGAAAAGAGGAGAATTGCTGAGGACCTATAGCTTCGCTACGTGGCACGTCATGATTTGTTTAAACAACTACGAGGAGACGGCGGAGCGAGCCGTAATTGTGTATCGTTATAGAAGAAATCTCAAAGTAGCATTCAACCGTGCAATTTTTCCTCTAAACGATCCCTATTACACCGTCATCTTGAGCCAATTTGCCAGTAGAAATGTGATGTTAGGTATAATTGTTTTTAATGGCATTGTCACAATATACGTATATAGATACCGCGAGCATTAAGTATTGACAGAAACTGGTACATGTCGTGATGGTAGTTACGAGCGGTGTTACATAATTAAAAGGATTACGTGGACTTGGTTCGTGCGTGTCTGGCCAATGATGGTTTATACCCCTTTTCGAATGCGTCTCACTTTATTCTCGAGTGCTTTCGATATAGATTTCATTTCCCTTCTGCGTTCAGCTAGAGAGTCTCGAGAATGTCCGAGTAACGGAACGTACGAATCTGTTGTTCGAAAGGTAGGCATGGAAATTTGCAAATAAAACGTGTTGTGAATAGATACACCCTTTTAGATGTACAACTGCACTGCTTTACATTTCTGATCCACTGGAGCTTGTCAATGCAATATCAGTACCGCGAAATAGGAGATTGAAGTTTTTAAAGTCTAGAAAATTTTTTGGTAAACCTTTGGATACTATTCTGTAAGATGGAACAAAGTGTCGCGTTAATTATTGCACTTATATTCGGAAAAGTTTCCAAGTTCGGTGAAACGAGATCACGATATGGATGTTGCATACACGATAGTAATTACTTCAATACAGTTATCTCAGTTTTGTTTGGTATTAGTTGAGGCGATGCCATTAGGCAACTGCATTAACGATAGTTGGCTTACCATCTAAAGGGCTAAGAGTGAGCTACGTGCCGGAAGTGGTTTTACATGTTCCCATTTTGACTACAGTTCGCAAACGATACTATTGACGGACAGAAGCATCTTCGAATTTGTCAGAGACTTTTGCTTCACGATTTGGTCCAATTTTCCACTCTGTTCACGGAGGATCTAATAAATGGTCGCAGTAGAAAGTACAGAAAATAAATTGGAGCGTAAACCGATACATCTAATGGACTTGTCAATGTGTTTCAAAAAATTTTGTGAGAATTAGAACTTATATATTTGAATAATTCTGTATACTGTCCAATTGCATAGCAGGTCAAAGAATTATTAACAAATTCTTCGATTGTTGTGCTCCTCCTTTCGTCCCGGTTATCAATTCCTCGCCGTTTATGTCGATTTCATTACCGTGAAAAAGGAAACGGATGCTTTTAAGATCTAGAAATATTTCTTATGACCATTCTAGTGTCCCTTTTTTCTCTGTTAACCCTTATGTCAATAACCGGGTACCCCTTTGCATAATTCTCGCTTAAAATATTTGATCTTCCAGGTAAAATTTCCTATCCTAGTATTTTGTTATCAGAAAACTACTAAAATTGGACGATAAAGTAGACGACAATTCTGGTTATTGACATAAGGGTTAATCGAGAAGGTATCGCGTTAATTGTCATATTTACCTCGGCAAAAGTCTCCAAATTCAAGGAAATCAGTCCTCCCGCAGTGAGCAATGGCGGAGTCAAGCTCCTCCTCAAAGCTAGCACGTACAGAGTTTGCGTTCTCGGCGAACTGTTGTACCATTTTGCGCTATATCTGCGAACGAACAACTCCTGAAATCTTCGAGGTACGATAGAACTGATAATTGCATTTTCTTTTTTTTTGAACGAGTGAAATTTCCTGGCAATTTTTAACTTCCAGTGAAATTCGCGTAAGAACGGCTACTCACATGTTGTCGTAAGTCATGTCATGCGAGAGTATAATAAAGTGTCCCTGGATAGAAAGGAAAAGCAAATGAACCAGTTGCACCACCAAGAAACCGCAATACTTGTAGAACTCCATGCAAGGGTCCATCATGGACGTCTAATTTCAAACGCTCGATTATATCATTTAACAAAGCAGATTATATTTATTTTGCGTGGAATGGAAAATTGACTAACCCTGACTAGAGAGATACTGAACGACAGCACGACTACAGCGACCATTATGAACAGGTACGAGACGTGAACGTCTTCGATCTGCATAATATATCTATTTTACACATATATTGAATAAACGTATGTAAATGATGGTGGAAGAACGAATATTCTAAACAGGTCGAATTTATTTCTAAATAATCGTACTTACTCCATAGCGTGTTGATGAGCCTTGATCGAATGGCGCACTTTTCTATACGTGTCGTCCACTTCGGTGTGCATCTTCTCGTTCTTGGTAATCACAGTTTCCACTGCCCACTTGAAGCAATGCCTACGAGCATATTTCCATTCGGTGTTAATCCAAATTTCCAGGTAATATCGTTAGTTACACGCAGAAATAGTTTACCCAGAGACGTTCAGTAATCCGCACGCGTGTTGCACGATATTCATGTAGATCGTGTCACAGGAGATGTAGACGAAAAACACTACAGTTATCACGCAGAGCATGTGACCCATCAGAATGTAATAATGTTCCTCCTCGTCGAGACCGTAGTATGCAGGATAAATGAAGTCAACCCCACGCGATTCGTTTTTCGGTGAAATAAGGTCGAGAACACGAGGCGTAATCGCCACTGAGGTGAATATAACGTAGCAAAACAGTCCGTTTACTGTGAAATACAGAGAAGTAGGAATAATAATAATAAGAGTAAGAATAGTGGACGAATGAATTAATTGGGTTAGTTAGCAGAAGAAGCGTTTACGAAGGGGTGTTACACTGAAATAGACATATTTTATCCAGGATTTGGAAGCGACTTATTCGTGAATGAATCATTCTCAACGCGAATTTGTCCCCTACCGACGTACAAACGACTGAAAAACCGGCCTCTTTTAGCGTACTTGTCCATAATGTCCATTTCACTTTTCGGCCGTGTCGTTACCCAATCGTTGAATAAGCACTCTATCATCTCCTTTAGCTGTAATTTCGTATCGTTCATTTATACCAAATAAAATGTAAGTACAGAGAGAAAATGTTAAGTACACTGTTCACCTCTTTCTCGTGTATGATGTAATTCACCTCCTTTAAAATTGTTCCTATCGCGACCATCAAAAATGGGCATTGCTCTATTACAACATCCGTGTTCAGATTCACTAAGATGTGTGCAATCTACGATTGAACAAATATCAACGTCTAGCTTAACTAGCAAAATATTTTCTCTCCATCTTTTGTGTGCTAATTTTACAGACATAGTAGATGAATGAAAAAAATCGCCAAGTATATATATATATATAAATTTCGAAAACGTGAATGTAAAATTGTAATATAACTAAAGGTGATCATGCCTGGGTAAGTAAAGATGAAGCAGCAACGAGTATCATCGTGACACGTCCGATCCACTTTGTTCGATCGTTTCCATACGGCCATATCCCGGCCATCGATCCCCACCTTTTGCTCAGGTACAAATATGTCTTCTCCAGTTCGCGAGCTTCCATTATCGAAATTGTAATGGGCGATATGGATTTGATAGGTAAAGTAAGGAAAGAAGGAATTCAACGCGTTCCATGCTTATATCGTTAATTTAACGCTCTGTAATTTACCTTCTCGAATAATTTATCAGTCGGCATTGGATTGTCTTACCAGTCCGTTATTTTACTGTACTAATTTGTCTCCGCGAATAATTTATCAGTCCATGTTGCTGGGTAAAAGAACGCTTAGCATATTTATCTCGTCCACTTACTTCATTAATGGATCAATATAGTCGTTTCATTATTCTTTACCGTACTCGGTTTACAGTAATTGTTTCAACGATGAACTAACCAATCAGGCAAATGTCATTTGACATTTGTATTAATAATAATTGGCATCGCTTGTAAATAGGGTATCGATTGTGGTTTCACATATTGCTGTGTTATATCCAGTTCACAAATAGTATTAGCAAGAGGCAGATGCATCTTTTCGCCTGTGTTTAATACCACTGTTTCATTAGTTCAAGTTGTCACAGACGGTGTCATCGCTGAAACGGTTTATACTGCTGGATACACAATTTGAGAATACTCTGGGGAAGATGTATCGTAGAGAAAGTCTCCGATGGACACGTACCCTTACCGAGTTTCCATATCTTACTTTTTCACGCATCTGATATGTGCTGGCAGTGAAGAGAGTAGAAAATCATTGGTGAGTAAATGTTGTATCTCCGTCGTGTTTCATAAATTTGGTGAGAAACAGTGTTACTTAATT